GATCTATAAGGAAATATGAAAAAAAATTATTTTCAAATGGATACTCGTAAAAGAGAGAAGATACTGAAAACCTGACAGAAAGTCATTCTTTCATTATCCTCAACTTTCCAATTCTACTCACTGACAACTAATCAGGACCACTTAGCTATTCTGCTCTATCTAGGACTAATATAACTTAGCTCTTACTGAAGAGTTATGCCTTATTTATAATTTTTAGGAAGATAATTACTGTAACAGAGAAACACAAAGTTGGCTGGAGAATCCTAACAGATTTGTGGCCTTTTCATCAAATTATCTAAGAATATCTATACCAGTCAGAATGGTTTCTAAGTACATAACTAATTCAATAAAATATAAGCTGTACTATTACTTACTTGGGAATGGAAGATGGCCAAATAGAAATGTGTTCAGCTGTAATATCATTCACAATGTCCTCCTTTTTAAAAAAAGGAAAAAAAGGTGTGATTTAAAAAGAAATTCCTTTCAAATATACTTTTAAATGAAATTATGAAATACTGACCCGAACATTGTGAAGTTTCACAAAGAGTGACAAAATAATAGTCAAAACCAATGGTTCCTAAGAGAAAGAAAACAAAGAATCCTTAAACAATATATATATATATCTTTTAATATTTCTCCTGTCAACCTCAGAGACACCAAGTATTTTCTTTCAAAAGACCCTTACTTTTTGGAAATTTAGCAGCTGCTTTAGTTTAGAGCACACTAAAGATCAACTTCATTTTTAATCTCAGGAAAAAATATCACAGCACACAACTTACACAAAAATTACCATATTTAAGAGTCTGGCTTATGGTGCTATCTCCACACTCACTCCTCATATAACTTTTGAAATTAAGTAAGTAAATCTCTTTCTAACTAGTATTTCCAGTTACCTCCCCCCCAAAATTGACTTTTTGTTCCTTAAAATAATATTTAAAGGATGAAATCTAGGTTATGTCCAGCAAGTAAATATGATAATCCTATCAAACCCTTACTATGGAGACTAGCCTATTATGGAGACAATTTTAAAAATACCTGCTCTATTCACTAAAACAGATGCAAAGTAAACTCCATTCAAATTATCCCACCTGCAATAATAATCACTGAAGATAAGCATCTCAAGAGGTCACACTAATAACTGAATCGACACTTGAAACACTCATTTTTAAATCATATTCTACAAAAATCAGCACAGTAACTAGATATATTTTTAATAAAACTTACCCATAATTTTTTGACAAAAGAAAAATCAGCACAGTAACTAGATATATTTTTAATAAAACTTACCCATAATTTTTTGACAAAAGAAAGCAGTTCACTCCTGTAAAAAACAAAAAAAATTTTTGAGCATCGCATATTGCACACAGGTATTGATATTCAACTCTGCACCCCACATATGTACAATCAACTGTTTCAATAAAAAATTTTGTGTGCACATTTAATGTCAGAAATTAAAAATAACATCAAGTAAATTATAGGTGTGAAAGTTTATTCCTAACACTCCAACTCTGCATGTATGAAAAGGAGTATAATATTATATTGTCATACTAACCTGATAACATTTCTTCCCTGTTTTAATTACACATGTGAAGTCTTCAGTACTATCCAACCTTAGACATTGTTGGTGCTGGATTCCAGCTGATTATATTAAATGATTACTAGTCTCTTAAAATAACATATAAACAGAAGATATTTCCAAAGGTGGCCATGGCAGGCCCATCAGAGACCACCAGAGAATTCTCAAGATTGTCCATCTTTATGATATACAGGACAAAGGTAGATGTTTTTGAAATAGTACAAATAGTATAAATAATAAATAAAAACAAAAATATAACTGAAACATACCAATACATACCGATACATTATACCTAATGTAGATTCCCTCTGCTTTATTAAACTAACTCTGCCATCATTTCCTCGTTTGTGCTGACTGGATACACTACAGATCTGAACAACAACTTCCCAAAGGTCTTTGGCAGTCCGCCTACTTTCTTTAGGGCCTGGAAGTTCTTTGCATGTAGCTGCTAAAAGCTGTCCAAGCTATAACATGAAAAACAAACAGAAAACACACAGAAGATAATCTGTAACATCACACACGGCAGTCCTATTATTAAGGCACATTGAAGAAAAAATGATGACTGCCCAAACATATCAAGCCGTTACTTTCTGCTGTGCATTCAATACAACCTCTGAGGATCTCTGTCTACTGACAGATCTGAATCTGTTTGAGGAAGAGGATCCTCTGGCTCTACCATACAAACTTCTGTTCTGAACAATTATAATCTAATGAAAATATAAATGAGACAATGCAACGAGGTGAAAAAAAAAGTTGCTAAATATATAGAGTATGATCCTTTCCCCCCCCAAAAAAAGTGTAATGGAAGGCATATACCACAATGTTAACTATGGTAAAGTCCAGAGGTGAGATTAAAATAGTGCTTAGGTTTCACACATACACATTGCTTTTAATCATTAAAAAAAAAAAAAAAAAAAAAAAAAAAATTTTTTTTAAAAAAAATTTTTTTTAAATAAAAAAAAAAAAAAATTTTTTTTAAATAAAAAAAAAAAAAAATTTTTTTTAAAATTAAAAAAAAAAAAAAAAAAAAAAAAAAAAGATTTTTTTAAATGAAAAAATAAGAGAAAGAATATGGAAATTGAGGTTGGCAGAATAAGGGAAGAAGATTTAGAATAACTTCCCTCTCAGATAAATGGTAGCAACTGGGGATGGAGCTACTGCTAACATGAGGAGATGTGATTAAGGAAGGGCAGATTATAGAAAGTGAATGATCTGAAGAAAGACAGCCTTAAGGATCTAAGATGTAGGAAGAATCCAAAATAAAGAGTGGAAGAGCCAAAAGAAAAAGAGCAGAGAAAAGACAGGCCCAAAGTATAGAGGGAAAAAAAGAGGCTTGTATCAAAATCAGTATTTCTTTCCCTCTGTAATTTCAAAGCAAGAGAGGGCCCCTATATCTTTGTTCAGATTAAATTTTATACATCATGGCTCTTTTAAAGGGTGCAGTGGCAAGCACAATTTCAATTCCATCAGGAAACCCCAGTCACCACTGAAATGGACATATAAAGCCTTCTAATAGGGTCCCCCACTCTTTGAGGTAACTTCTTTAAGAAGGATGCAGGATTATGACAAAGATAAAAACTGGTGCTTTCCCCCCCTTTTTTTTTTGTTATTTCAATCAGAAAAATTGAAAGAATAGTTCAATAAATACCCAACACACTCTGAATATTCTGCCATGTTTGCTTTATTTATCTACATATATCGTTTTGTTAAACCATATTAAAGTAAGTTACAGACACATTTTACCCCCAAATACTTCAGTATACATCTTCAAAGGACAAGGACATTCTTTTACATAAGCACAATTCCAGGATCACACCAAGGAAAATTAACAAGAGTACTGGTGCTTTCTATAGCTAATGAAAATTAATGCAAAAATCCTACATATATTATGTGAATGTATATCAAGGATCCACAGTCTAGTAGGACATCTTATCTGGGATGGTCACCGAACACATTCTTCTGCAACTACTGGGATCACAATACAAGTTGAGTATTTCTTATTCGAAATGCTTGGGACCAGAAGTGTTTCAGACTTCAGACTTTTTTTCTTGATTTTGGAATATTTGCATTATACTTACCAGTTGAGCATCCCTAATCTGAAAACCTGAAATCCTAAATGTGCCAATGAGCGTGTCAGAGCTCAAAAAGTTTCAAATTTTGGAGCATTTCAGATTTTCAGATCAGGGATGCTCAACCTGTACATGTAGCTATTTACTGCAGTACAACGCCAGGGCTATTGTGGTTCCTCATCTCAAATTCATTTTCTGTTGTCGGGGACCATACACTTAGTTGAAGGTCACTAAATTTACTGAGTTATCTAATTAAAAGAATTTTCAGAAATCTCAGGCCCTAAATCAACTGAATTCCACAAAATTCTTGAGCATGTACTATGTGCTGGGCATCATGTAAAGCAGGAGAATATAAAAATGAACTGCCCTCAAGAAGCTCACTGCCTTACAGGAAAGACACAGGTGAACAAATAATTTATCATACAGCATAAATGCAACAAAAGAAGTATGTCAACAGGACAACAGCAGTAGAACCAGTACAACAGTAACAAAGACAGCAAGAGGAGAAAGTGATTTACTCATTTACAGTAAAAGGAATATGAACAGCATCAAAGAAACCACACAAATATGCAAAAGTGGGAAGGACGTCCCAGCTAAGAGAAGAGACAGCAGGCGCAAATGCACAATGCCTGAGAAAACACCATGCGAGCACTCTCGTGCAGCCAGCACTGCATGGGCACGACAGGAAGCAGGGCAAGGTGCACCTGGAGAAACAGAAGCATGCACACCTTCAAAGGCCTCGGAGGTCCTGTGAAAAACTTGGGTTTCTATCTTACACTATCACTGCTCCTCCTCCTCCTACTAGCTAGACTTTCATAATCCAAGTGCCTATAAATAAATCCAGTGCCCTTTCCATTATACAACATTGCCTCCCATTCTGATCCAAGGGCAGACTAGACAGTTCTGTATTATTTCAAAAGGGTATATTTTAGTCACATGCTTAAGATTTTTCTTTTCCTTATGATTATATAATTAATATATATTCAAATAAGAATCACGAAATAAAAAATACAATGTATTAAAATGACCTAATATTCCACCACCCAGAGAAAATGTCTTCCAGACTTTCCCCTATGCATATACATATATAGTCCACACCAAACTGGAAGTTTGGAAACTGCTCCAAATTGTATTATTTTCAAAACACAACCCCTTACTCTAGACTTCTTTCTCTGATTCCTTTATCCTTGACATTAACAAGGGAGCAAGCAGCCAACTATGGAAGCGGCACCCAAAACCCTAACCATGAGATGACATGAGGTGATGCGTTAAGTGATTACTCTGCAGCGAGATCACCACACATCCTTCCTCCCTTTGCACCAGATCGGGGACTGCAGGAAGCAGTGAGATAACCTCACCCAAGGTTAGGCAACCTACAACACAACTTCCTGTGTCCTTACACACTGTACACCCTCAAACGTTCATTCCACAAACATGTTTCACCTCTCCTGGTGTGCAGCTTCACAGAATTCACTGCTAGGAGAAGCAAAGAGAAGAGCTACTATTCTGTCTAAACACTGAGCAACAAGCTATGATTCTAAGTGGAAATGACAAAAACCCTGGAACCAAATGGTTCCTCTTCTGAGAGTTTATTTAAGGCTAAAAAGAGACTGTTGGGTATAATCAGACAAGTACCCTAGATATTAGAAACTCATATCCCAGAAAGTTCACTAAAAAGACAGATATGATCCAATGTCTGAAATTCCAAAGAAAAGGATGATTCGAGTATGATGATAAATTTTTATGAACAATAATAAAGAAGAGGAAAAGGACGGAAAAACTAAATAAATCAGTAAACCTTCAAAGGGTTAAAATGAAATGAGCTCAGTTTTTAAAAGGATATACATGAAGGAAGCAACAAATAACCAAAGACAAATATAAAAAAGTGGTATAGGCTTACAAGAGTTCCCAGATAAGCATAGGTTTAAAAGACTAGATATTAAAGACAAGGTGAGGGCAGATAAGGAAGAACCATAAAAGGTAATAGGAACAGTAAGAAAAGACATCAGGAAAATTTGAAGGACTAAATGTACTCCCAAAAGGGAGGGGAAGCCTTATAAAAATGTTAAATCACCAAATGTTTTATTTTGGCTTTTTAACTACAAGCCCAGAAAGAGAGAAAAGTCCACTATTTATTCGGGGTATATATAATATTAACACATGAAAGATATAAGCTTTGGAAAACCCTCCAGTTTCTCTTTAGTTTTGATATATTCTGTCCTCAGAAAGCATTTAGGTTGTAGAAGACAGATATAATTAAGAAGGAAGACCAAATAAACAACTTACAACCAATTTACTGAACGAATTCTTTCATATGGGTATTAGAGCAAACACGTTATTAGTTCATTAACAAATATGCTATAGGTTCAGGCATATCAAACTTACAGGAGTAAACAGGTTCTAAAGAAAGCTAAGGTGTTCAAATAAAAGACGGGTAAAAGTGCATCCTTGACAGTTTCCACCAGCCTGAGTTTGATCATAGCAACCAAAGCAAGAAAAGTTCACTAATCTCTCACTATCTGATGATTATACCAAAGTATTGTCTGTTAACCAAATAATTAGTGTTTGCATTCTCATGAATTACGAGGTATTAGGAAAAAATTTTAGAAAGGGCAAAGTTAAATGCCTAAATTATCAAAAACTATGCTTTTATCTACAAACCAACAAGTGTTTGTCCAATCCTACATTGTATCATAGAAATTAGACAAGTTCCCAAAGTAGTATAAAGAAACAGGTATAATAACAACATTCTAATAATCCTTTTATTTAGATTAAACATTAGTTACCTTTACATATGGATTACTCTGAAGCAGAAATGCAGGAACTTGCAGTGTAAGGTATTCATTTTCCCTCCAGTTTAACATAAAAGCAACACATTCCTCAGCTATTACCTGACGAAGAGGAATATCTAATAAAACAAAGAAGAAAATAGTTAAATTACCATTATAACATTAAAATGAGAACAAAGCAAATATTTGCTCAGATTACAATTGAGTAAAAAAACCAATAGCTACAGGCTTGAAAAATTCAATTGAGTAAAAAAACCAATAACTACAGGCTTGAAAAATGGCGGCGGGTCTGGAGCACCCACGTCAGGAAACAGCACGATCCTGAGAGCTCTGTGCTGTGATACCAGAGTATTGACTGCATTTCCAAGAGCAACAAAGGACGAATAAATCTTTCAACAACGATCGTACATCGACAAACAAGCGGCAGTGGGTTCGAGGTTTTGGAGCCGACACGGAGAAGGACTTCCGGGAGTGCCCAGGCCCAGCTGCGGGAACAATATTGGCGGCCCACACGGCAAAGGCCAGGAGAGCC